ACAACGTGCGCTAACACCAGATACGAACACAACACCAGATACAACGTACGCGACACCAAATACAACATATATCATACAAGATACAACGTAGGTGACAGTATGTGACACCAGATACAGCGTAGGTGACAGTATGTGACACCAGATACAACGTAGGTGACAGTGTGTGACACCAGATACAGCGTAGGTGACAGTATGTGACACCAGATACAGCATAGGTGACAGTATGTGACACCAGATACAGCATAGGTGACAATATGTGACACAAGATACAACGTGCGCTACACACCAGATACAACGAACACAACACCAGATACAACGTACGGTGACACCAAATACAACATATATCATACAAGATACAACGTAGGTGACGGTATGTGATACCAGATACAACGTAGGTGACAGTATGTGACACCAGATACAATGTGCGCTACACCAGATACAACATATATCATACAAGATACAATGTATGTGACACCAGATACAACGTATGTGACACCAGATACAACGTATGTGACACCAGATACAACGTATGTGACACCAGATACAACGTATATCACACAAGATACAATATGTGATACCAGATACAACCTATGTGACAGTGACACCAGATACAGCGTATGTGACACCAGAAACAACGTATATCACACAAGTTACGTGTGTGACACCAGATGCAACGTACGTGACACCAGTTGCAACGTGTGTGTGACACCAGATACAATATATATAACACAAGATACAGCGTACGTGACACACGATACAATATATATAACACAAGATACAGCGTACGTGACACACGATACAATTGCACATGAGTGGGGGGGGCATCTGTATGTTATTTACCGTATTCAATTTTTTCCTTACAGTTGATACATTTCTTCAACTTTATTGCTACCAGAAGAGATGAACAACATTCCTTGTGATACCTTAATCAATGACCGCAATGTAAGAGTGATTGGGCGGCTGTATAGCCACTCGGGTCACTTTTATCTGAAAGTGGATTGCCAGGTGAATGATGTGATATCGGGACGTGGCTGCAGGTTAACTGCTTCTTGTCCGGGACAGACAGACAGAATGCACATGTGATACTTCCTCCATACACTAAACCCCCCCCCCAATCCCACCATTCATCTCCTGCCCCCATACAGGTGCTCTTTGTGCTCAGTCTTGGTGGTCGCGGTGATTTAGGGAGTAATCAGTTCTCCTGGCGCTGCCTCATCCTCGGCACAATACAGCGAGGCCGGGATGTTATTCTCTTCCAATTAGTCGGGTAGTTTCCATGGAGTTGTGTGTGTGCGGCGGGGAGGGAATTTATCTTTCTTAGCTCGGCTCTGCGGAGGCTCAGCCAGGACTCCCAGCATCTTCTCTCACATCTCGGAAATCAGAGCCGGCCTAAGGAAGTGTCTGCTGAAATCCACATGAGAGCGGCCCATTGTGGACGCGTCTCCATTCATCTCTTCACATGGAACGCTCACAAATGCCTCGTATCTGAAGGAGAGGGAAAGAGACTGCGCTGATCGGGATCAATACAACGATTACAGCCCGATTACAGCCCAGGATTACCGCAGGGGAGGGACGCTGATCGCTGAGAGATCAATGAGATCCAACACTGGATAGACATGGAATAGGGACAGATATACGTACATACATGAAGTGCAGACAGACAGACAGACATGAAGTGCAGACAGTGCAGACACAGACATGAAGTGCAGACAGACAGACATGAAGTGCGTACAGACTGACAGACATGAAGTGCGTACAGACAGACAGACATGAAGTGCGTACAGACAGAGACAGACATGAAGTGCAGACAGACAGACATGAAGTGCGTACAGACAGACATGAAGTGCAGACAGACTGACAGACATGAAGACAGACAGACAGACTGACAGACATGAAGTGCAGACAGACTGACAGACATGAAGTGCAGACAGACAGACAGACATGAAGTGCGTACAGACAGACAGACTGAGACATGAAGTGCGTACAGACAGACAGACAGACATGAAGTGAAGTGCGTACAGACAGACAGACATGAAGTGCATGAAGTGCGTACAGACAGACAGACAGACATGAATGCATGACAGACAGACAGACATGAAGTGCGTACAGACAGACAGACAGACTGAAGTGCGACAGACAGACATGAAGTGCGTACAGACAGACAGACAGACATGAAGTGCGTACAGACAGACAGACATGAAGTGCGTACAGACAGACAGACATGAAGTGCGTACAGACAGACAGACATGAAGTGCGTACAGACAGACAGACAGACATGAAGTGCGTACAGACAGACAGACATGAAGTGCAGACAGACAGACAGACATGAAGTGCGTACAGACAGACAGACAGACATGAAGTGCGTACAGACAGACAGACAGACAGACATGAAGACATGTGCAGTACAGACAGACAGACAGACATGAAGTGACAGACAGACAGACAGACATGAAGTGCGTACAGACAGACAGACATGAAGTGCAGACAGAACAGACAGACATGAAGTGCGTACAGACAGACAGACAGACATGAAGTGCGTACAGACAGACAGACAGACATGAAGTGCGTACAGACAGACAGACATGAAGTGCGGACAGACAGACAGACGTACAGACATGAAATGCGTACAGACAGACATGAAGTGACGTACAGACATGAAGACAGACGTGAATGAAGTGCGTACAGACAGACAGACGTGAATGCGTACAGACAGACAGACATGAAGTGCGTACAGACAGACAGACAGACAGAAGTGCGTACAGACAGACAGACAGACAGACAGACGAATCTAATTGCAGACGGACGGATTCCATTGGATTGGAAGGACAGACTTTTGGACGGATAGACAGATTATATGGAGGGATAGATGGATACAAGATGAGAGGCGGACAGACAGACGTACTCATAGATATGGATAGTCAGAGAGTGAGAGTAGACAATGATAGATGGATACAGTTGTGCTCCAAAGTCTCCTCCCTCCTCCGGCAGAAATGGTGGAATGTTGGCACCCCCCCCCCCCCGGAATGTTGGGTCTTGGTACAGACACACGAGGGGACACACACGGGGTACAATGCCAATTAAAAGGTTCATTCCCCACATCTGTGGCTTCTTACATTGCAATCAGTGTCAGTGTATAAATAATCAATGGGTTTGTTATCTCTCATGTGGAAGCACTCAGCAGGCTAGACACTGAGCCATGGGGAGCAGACAAGAACTGTCAAAAGACCTGCATAACAAGGTAATGGAACTTTATAAAGATGGAAAAGGATATAATAAGATATACAAAGCCTTGACTATGCCGGAGAGAGTGCTGTTCTATCACTTATTAAAAAATGGAAAGTCCGGGGATCTCTTGATCGCAAGCCAAGGTCAGGTAGAACAGGAAAGATTGCCGCCACAACTGCCAGAAGAATTGTTAGGGATACAAAGAAACCCCCCACAGGTCACCTCAGGAGAAATCCAGGCTGCTCTGGAAAAAGACGGCGTGGTTGTTTCAAGGAGCACAATACGATGACACTTCAACAAAAATGAGCTGCATGGTGAAGTTGCCAGAAATAAGCCTTTACTGAACCAGTGCCACAAAAAAGCCTGGTTACAATATTCCTGACAACACGTCAGGGGCGGACTGACCATTTGGAAACTTGGGCACTGCCTGAGGGCCTGGGGTCAGTAGGGGGCCCCATGAGATGCCCCTGGTACCTTTTTCATAGGCTTTTTGGAGTTTGGGCAAGGACACAGGGGCCCCATGATCCCCTATTGCCCGGGGGCCCCATGAGTTGTCAGTCCGCCCCTGCAACATGTTGACACGCCTCACCGAGCTTTTTTTATGGCATTGGCGCAGTAAAGGATTTTTTTTCTGGCAACTCGACCATGCAGCTAATTTTTGTTCAACTTATGGGGCTTGAAGGATCTGCTAGTGACGGCTCAGTGCCAGACACCACATCATACCTCCAGAGGTCTAGTGGAATCCACGCCACGACGTGTCAGGGCTGTTTTGACAGCAAAAGGGGGATCTACTCAGTATTGGGTGTGTGGTCATGCTATGGTGGGTGGTCATAATGTTTATGGCTGATCAGTGGTATTATGGAGTATATATATATAAATTCGATGTGTTCTGTGTCCCCCCCCCCCCCCCGGTACACAGAGGGTCTCGGCTCTGCAATCTTCGGACTTTTCTAGGTCAGCCTTTCCAGCCTGTAATATGGTGTATGACGAGCCTTCACAGTCCATTTGCAGAGACTTCCACTCTCCTGATTGCTGGTGACACCAGGCTGTGCCAATCCGATTGAATGACACCTTTCCTGGCCTTGTGAAAAGGTCGCAGTCTCCTCGGACTGGCGTTTTCTAAAAATACTGCCCCTGCCGTCCTCGCGCAGACGGCGGTGACTCCGGACAAATGTGAAAATCGTTTTGGATCACCAATACCTTCCTCTGGGATTCGGGGAGCCGTTTGTTCCATCCCGCGGGTGTCATTCCTTTAAGCTCCTCTTTGTACTGATACTTTATCTGGCTCTTGCAATATGTGAGGGAGGGGCTTAACACAAACTGTACATATGAGGGTGCGTACCTTATTTTAGATCCAGTGATTGTCATCACTGGGTCTCTGTGCTTCTCTATGCAATGCTGGTGGGAGGAGCCGTCGGGGTGCTCAGCCCTGAGCCAAGAAGTGGGAGGAGTTATAGAAATGTAAAAATGCCTTGATGGGTGGGTGTCAGTCTGGAGGGGTAGGCGTTCCTAGACGGACTTCACTTGCACATGGACCACCCTTGCTGATGCTGAACCTTCCTGATTGAATGAACTGAAATCTAATGAAGGGGCGGGGCAGGCTGTGGAGGAAAGTGCTAGATGATGCTGGATGTTCTTCAGCCAGGAAATGAGGAGGAGCTCTATCTGACTGGCTGCAGCATCTAATGCACATTGTGAGAAGCTCACAGTGTGCAGTGATATCAGAGGAAAACATTTCAGTCCAGGGGAGGACTGAAGGGGAGGAGCCGGCACACCTGTGGAAGACTGAAGGGGAGGAGCCGGCACACCTGTGCAAGACTGAAGGGGAGGAGCCGGCACACCTGTGCAAGACTGAAGGGGAGGAGCCGGCACACCTGTGCAAGACTGAAGGGGAGGAGCCGGCACGCCTGTGCAAGACTGAAGGGGAGGAGCCGGCACGCCTGTGCAAGACTGAAGGGGAGGAGCCGGCACGCCTGTGCAAGACTGAAGGGGAGGAGCCGGCACGCCTGTGCAAGACTGAAGGGGAGGAGCCGGCACGCCTGTGCAAGACTGAAGGGGAGGAGCCGGCACGCTTGTGCAAGACTGAAGGGGAGGAGCCGGCACGCTTGTGCAAGACTGAAGGGGAGGAGCCGGTACGCTTGTGCAAGACTGAAGGGGAGGAGCCGGTACGCCTGTGCAAGACTGAAGGGGAGGAGCCGGCACGCTTGTGCAAGACTAAAGGAGAGGAGCCGGTACATCTGTGCAGGACTGAAGGGGAGGAGCCTGTACGCCTGTGCAGGACTGAAGGGGAGGAGCCGGTACACCTGTGCAAGACTGAAGGGGAGGAGCCGGTACACCTGTGCAAGACTGAAGGGGAGGAGCTTGTACACCTGTGTGGAACTGAAGGGGAGGAGCCGGTACACCTGTGCAAGACTGAAGGGGAGGAGCCGGTACACCTGTGCAGGACTGAAGGGGAGGAGCCTTTTTCCACACCACATTGCAGTCACATCATGTTCATGCGATTTGGTGTCAATGATAAATTGACACCCCGAAACAAATCACAAAACACGATGTGATTGCCAGAAATCGCATCATATGGGTGAGAACACCCATGCAAAGCTATTCAGGTGCGGATATAAAAAAGGGTCCTGCACCTTTTTGGTGCAGATGTGATGCGATTTGAGCCGCACAGACATTTGCATGTAATTCGCACAGGAATTTGGTGCGATTCCGATGCGAATGACACGCAGGGTACCGCACCGCATTGTGTGAACCGGCTGTGAAGGGCCGGAGTTCCGCTCTGATCGATTGACACGTCCCGGCTCAGCCATAAAAGCCCATTTCATTGAAGTCGCTTTGCTTTGTGTCAACTAATTACAGCGGCCGCCTGCGTCTTGTTTTTATTGCTCGTTACGCCATAAATTCCATTAATTCAGACGGACGATGCGGGGTGATCGGACGGACGATGCGGGGTGATCGGACGGACGATGCGGGGTGATCGGACGGACGATGCGGGTGATCGGACGGACGATGCGGGATGATCGGACGGACGATGCGGGATGATCGGACGGACGATGCGGGGATGATCGGACGGACGATGATGATCGGGGGACGATGATCGGACGGACGATGCGGGGATGATCGGGACGTGACGATGCGGGGATGATCGGCGGGGATGATCGGACGGACGATGCGGGGATGATCGGACGGACGATGCGGGGATGATCGGGACGGACGATGCGGGATGATCAGACGGACAGCAGGCTGAGCGATGAATTCATGGCGGCTCCTCGCCGCCGTCGTATAACTGGAAACGGAGGAAATAAATTGTTACATTTCTACATTGTGTCCGCTTATGGAAAGGCTGCTGTGCGCTGCGCAGGGGGCGGGTCATGTGATCTCTCCTCCATTTTGGGGTTTAGGTGACAACATCCTGCCTGTGACCCTGATGGGTGGTAACCCAGATCAGCCAATCAGAGAACTTTTAAAAGGGAGGAATATTTGATTTATATAAAAGTTCTGAATGTTGGAGATTTTTTTGCTTTCTGTTAGTCTGAGCGGATTCAGACAACAGTCCGGGTCCCTGACACACAGATGACGTCAGAAATTACCCATCAGCAGTTATGGGCCAATAGGAATGCAGGGAATCCCAGACGTTCCATGTGAGAATTTGCAGATGTAACTTTAAGTGGTTGTAAGGCTCCATTCACACTCGTGTGACTTCTCATGCGACTTTGGGGTCCAGAGTCGCATAGAAAGTCGTCCCCCCCATGTTTCCCAATGAGTATCATTCTTATCTGTGCGACGTCAAGTTGCAGCGACTTGAAAGTAGTTCCTTTTGGTGCGACTTGAGGGCCATAGACTCCAATATTTTACCCCCCCCCCCAAATTGCATGAAAGTCTGAATGATATATATGCGACTTGTGTGCAACTTCAGTGTAGTTCCTTTGGTGTGACTTTCATGTGACTTGAGGGCCATAGACTCCAATTTAACCCCCCTCCAAAATTGCATGAAAGTCTGAAGTTGCACACAGGTCCCATATATATCATTCAGACTTTCATGCAATTTGGGGGGGGGGGGTTAAATTGGAGTCTATGGCCCTCAAGTCGCATGAAAGTCACACCAAAGGAACTGCTTTGAATGATATATATGCGACTTTAAAGTAATTCCTTTGATGTAACTTTCATGCGACTTGAGGGCCATAGACACCAATTTCCCCCCCCCCCCCCCCCCCCAAATTGCATGAAAGTCTAAAGTTGCACACAAGTCGCATATATATCATTCAAAGTAGTTCCTTTGGTATGACTTTCATGCGACTTGAGGGCCATAGACTCCAATTTAACCCCCCCCAAAATTGCATGAAAGTCGCATCTGAATGATATATATGCGACTTTGTAGCGCACACTCATCCTCAGTCAAATCTAAAGTCGCACTCATCCAACGTTTCATTGTAAAGTCGTGAATTGTGAAGTTGCACAAGTGTGAATGGAGCCTAAAACCTGCAGATCCGGCATTTTCTGCCACTTTTTGTTTACCTGCGATATTGTGGCAGCACTCTACCAGGCAATGGATAGCCGGCTGAGGCACAAAGACATATATATGTATACTGTCAGCATTCGATGAATTCCTGAAATAATAATACTTGGCTCCGCAGACAGGAGTTCTTCGCATTGAGAACAGAGACCCATCCCCATGCAGATCACAGAAAGTCGCACCCAACCGCAGTGGATCCCCCCTTGAAGTGGCCCAGAGGTGGCTCCGGCAGAAGGCGGGACGATCCATCGGTGGTGATAGATGAACTTATTTTTGTATTTCTTATCTCCTGCGTTCAGTTCTCCAGGATGGGTTGGGGCGGATCTGCGTTCATCCTCTTCTGGGTCAGATCTGGGAAGTTCTCGGTTCCATGAATCACTCTGACACCACCCGATGGTTCTCTCTCCTCGCGGGGCCACCATGTTGGGGCCATCTCAGCCGAGTGATTTATTCACAGAGATCAGTTTTTAATTTTTTTTTTTAAAGTGATTTCTCACAAAGGAAATCGTTATTTTCAGCATTTTTGTCGGCGATAATTGCTCTGCGTTCACCTCTATGGCTTCGCTGCGGATGGCTGAAGGAGAACCCCATCCCAGTGGGGCACATAAGTGGTGCCATCACTGTTGCCCCTATATAAGTGGTGCCATCACTGTTGCCCCTATATAAGTGGTGCCATCACTGTTGCCCCTATATAAGTGGTGCCATCACTGTTGCCCCTATATAAGTGGTGCCATCACTGTTGCCCCTATATAAGTTGCCCCTATATAAGTGGTGCCATCACTGTTGCCCCTATCACTGTTGTAAGGGTGCCATCACTGTTGCCCCTATATAAGTGGTGCCATCACTGTTGCCTATATAAGTGGTGCCATCACTGTTGCCCCTATATAAGTGGTGCCATCACTGTTGCCCCTATATAAGTGGTGCCATCACTGTTGCCCCTATATAAGTGGTGCCATCACTGTTGCCCCTATATAAGTGGTGCCATCACTGTTGCCCGTATATAAGTGGTGCCATCACTGTTGCCCTATATAAGTGGTGCCATCACTGTTGCCCATATAAGTGGTGCCATCACTGTTGCCCCTATATAAGTGGTGCCATCACTGTTGCCCCTATATAAGTGGTGCCATCACTGTTGCCCCTATATATATAAGTGGTGCCATCACTGTTGCCCGTATATAAGTGGTGCCATCACTGTTGCCCCTATATAAGTGGTGCCATCACTGTTGCCCTATATAAGTATATAACTGTTGTGGTGCCATCACTGTTGCCCGTATATAAGTGGTGCCATCACTGTTGCCCTACATAAGTGGTGCCATCACTGTTGCCCTATACATAGTGGTGCCATCACTGTTGCCCCTATATAAGTGGTGCCATCACTGTTGCCCCAGTGTGGTGCCATCACTGTTGCCCCTATATAAGTGGTGCCATCACTGTTGCCCCTATATAAGTGGTGCCATCACTGTTGCCCGTATATAAGTGGTGCCATCACTGTTGCCCCTATATAAGTGGTGCCATCACTGTTGCCCCTATATAAGTGGTGCCATCACTGTTGCCCCTATATAAGTGGTGCCATCACTGTTGCCCCTATATAAGTGGTGCCATCACTGTTGCCCGTATATAAGTGGTGCCATCACTGTTGCCCGTATATAAGTGGTGCCATCACTGTTGCCCCTATATAAGTGGTGCCATCACTGTTGCCCCTATATAAGTGGTGCCATCACTGTTGCCCCTATATAAGTGGTGCCATCACTGTTGCCCCTATATAAGTGGTGCCATCACTGTTGCCCCTATATAAGTGGTGCCATCACTGTTGCCCGTATATAAGTGGTGCCATCACTGTTGCCCGTATATAAGTGGTGCCATCACTGTTGCCCGTATATAAGTGGTGCCATCACTGTTGCCCCGTATATAAGTGGTGCCATCACTGTTGCCCCTATATAAGTGGTGCCATCACTGTTGCCCGTATATAAGTGGTGCCATCACTGATGGCTGAAGGAGAACCCCATCCCAGTGATGCAATTGAACCCGTAACAATGACAGATTTCCAGCAAATCAAGTGATGACATCACCCGCTACAAATCGCTGTTAGTGGCTGGTAGTCGCAGTTTGTAGCTGACAGAGAATCGCCAGTCTGACCGCAGCCTATCAATGCCGTACGTGACGTCAGTACCAGCCTCTGAATGTGAGGAGACATCTTCATCTCCAGAGCTGATCTCCAGGCTAATTGAATGTTGTCTCTATTCATCGGTCGTGCGTCTTCTGGAATCTTGGTGAGCTTTGTGTATTTCTTCCAGATCTGTGCAGGGATCCAGTGTGAGACTTTGCCTTTGATGCTCACTGAAAAAAATGGAGAAGCGTAAGGATTGGAGGGACTTTGACAAGGACCAAATTTTATTGTCTGGGTCAGAGCAACTCCAAACTACAGCTCTTGTGAGATGTTCATGGTCTCTATTGGTCAGGACCGAATAAACGTGGTCCAAGGAAGAGAAACCGGCCAATCGAAGA